GGCTGGCTTACGCTACAAACTTCATCACCTTTTAACAAGAGAGTAAGTATATAAAACGTTATTTTGTATATTTTACACATCAGCGGTAACAGAGAGAGATGGCAGGACACTGTGTTTTAGAGAGAACCCCTCCCCCCTGCGTCAGCAAACGGCTTGCGCGGTAATACCATCGCCCAGATGGTCCGCTTTTAGTTTCCCAGACGGTGCTTGTCAGGACTCTTTTCACTTCTGGCGGCGGGGGGATATTTCCTTCTTCTTCCTCCACATTGAGGGGTAACGGTGAAAACTCTTCTTTGATCTCGCTTTTTGTTTGCGTTTCTTTGCTTTTTGTTGCACATATCTTGTACACCGCTGGTTCCACAGTGTTTTCTTGATGCACTACTTCTTCCAATACAATGGTTGCGTGGAGATCTCTGGAAGACACCAGAGTTAACACAGCCCAATCTGTTGAGGTCAACGTTGCTTTAACACTGTGGGGTCCATACGTTTCTCCATTCTTCAGATTGTAGAAATGCAGTTCATTCGCCATATAGTTGAATACGTATCCCCAAACATGTTCATTTTCCAGAAGCCATTTATCTTCAAGATCTTCGACCGGAGGTGTTTGAACCCGGCACAGATACTGCTTCCGTTTCTTGATTGGCGCTCCGGACGGATGGCGGTAAGTTGTCACAGGCGTCTCGCTGATTAAACCCATATCGAGGCGTCTCTTGGCCATTTTTTCTTTTTGGAAAGATGACTTGATGATTGGAAATGACTGGCTTTTTATCTGCACGGGGTTCTTTTTTTTTATCTCACTCCACCCCTTCGGTCTTTTGACATCACATAATTGGGGCGGGCCCTTCTGTCACTTTTATGCATACTAATGTGATGGAAGCGGCATTTTGTTTTAATAGACTTGGGGGCGGGCCCACCTGTCACTTTTTATGCATACTAATGTGATTGAAACATCTTTTATTATACACCATAAGGCGCAACAGTGGGGGCTTTTCACACCTGTGAATACACATCACCCCCCTCCTATCGACGGATCTCACACCTACTTGGGATATCACACCTACTTGAGATCTCACACCTCGAACAAAGGGGAGGCGGGACTTAGCTCATTAGCATAAGTAGGGAGAGCTCTGACCTGTCACAGCACCTGTCACTTTCTATGCATACTAATGTGATGGAAGCGGGATGAATAATACTACTGCTGTAACCACACCTCCAGAACCCAACCCACTCATTTATGCTTTAAATAACTCCTACTACCTGTACAGGCTTGCATCTATCTTGTAGTCCAATACTAACTACACACTATTTACTGACACTGAGCGGTGAAAATATAACGCTTATGGCGGGACAGGGCTGCTGAGCCTAGAGATGGATCTGTTGGTCCTGGCACCAGGGAGAGGGTAAACTGATTTAGTATGAATAGCTGCTAAAATGTACCTGCATTTACTAAATGTCAGCTAAAAGAGGAGTGAAATTAACAACCTGTATAGATATTAACAGTACTTAATGTCAGCTTAGTAAAAAAAAAACATAACAATTATTATTTACAATGGACTACGCTTAGCTAACAGACAGATTTCCACCACTCATAGACCACTGCTACTGTCGCCCTTTAGTCGCTCTATCTTGTCTTTCTCTCCTTTCTTTTCTCTTTTGAAAGCCTGACTTTGTTAGTCGTTGAGATATGGTACACAAGTAAGTACTAGCATCCATGCTCCTAACATGCTCTCACTCTCTGCTAGAAAGTGCAGGCGGTGCTGTACCGCGTTTGGAGGCAGGACCAAACCATTACATGTAAATAGAGGGGGGTGTACAGTGGCTTTGGATAATTAACTTTTGGAAGAAAATAAGTTAAATAAATTGTAAGTTTAGTGAGTAAATTATCAATATAACGTCCTATTAATGTTAATTCTTGATGAATGATGAAAGGTTACTTAAAAATTGTTTTCTTAATGTTCTAAAATTGTTTGGGCCCCGTGGTGAGGGTGGCCAATAGGGTGGCCAGGATTCAGCTGGGAGTGGCCGTGGCCACTCCCAGCTCCGCCACTGCTTCAGGCTCCGCTGGGGAAGAGAGAGATGATCCTCCGCGAGGACGACGGCTGCTTCTAGGCTGGCGGGGTGGTGGCACTGGACCCAGTTCCCTGTGGATATTGGGACTCCTACGACAAATTGCTCCAGTGCCACCTGCTCCACAACGTCCTTAGCGGAGTGTTGTCCCGGTCGGAGCCAGCGCCTCGCGGCATTCAGGAGCTGCTGCGCGTAGGAGAAAGGACGGCCGGCTTCCCAGGTCCTTTAGGAATAGGAACTCTAGCAATCAGGTCAATAGCACAATGGACGGTGAGGAGGAAGAGCCAAAGCCTTGGATTTGCTAAAAACCTCACCTAGATCATGGTAGTAGGAAGGGACTGAAATCCTGCCTACAATTCCCAGTGTTGCTTCCCCTGTCCATCTCAACTGTTTGCTTTAAACAGTGATGTAAGCATTCCTTTCCCAACCCCTCCACCCTGCAAGAGTGCCAATTTATGTGGGGGTTATGACGTTTTAGCCAGGGGAAACCCAAAATGAGAGGATGTTGGGCTGAGTTATAAAGGTGGAAAGACATAGCCTTGTGATGGTTATCATTTACAATAATTTCTAAAGGCTCCTCACCTATTTCTCCTCTCTCCTCGCTCTCCTCTCTCCTCTTCCTGTATCTCCAGGCTCCAGGGGACAGATGTGGTGATTGCCATCTTCATTATTGTAGCCATGTCTTTTGTACCGGCCAGCTTTGTGGTCTTCCTTGTTGCAGAGAAATCCACGAAGGCCAAACACCTGCAGTTTGTCAGCGGGTGTGACCCTGTCATCTACTGGCTGGCTAATTACATATGGGACATGGTGAGAAAACCCTGGGGTCAATACTGTACAAAGAATAATGCATGTGTAACTGAGGTTAGGGCAGTGGATTGTCTTGTGTTTTTAATAATTCATTGTGTGTCTGCTCTCTCCTCAGCTGAACTACCTGGTGCCTGCTACATGTTGTGTGATTATTCTGTTTGTGTTTGACCTGCCGGCCTACACATCACCAACTAACTTCCCTGCAGTCCTCTCTCTCTTTCTTCTGTACGGGTGAGACCTTGGAGTGCACACATCTTTACTTATCAGCGTTTATACCTGGAATTAACGTCTCATTATAGTGTAGTCTAGTGGTCTTACACTTCTATTGAAGGGTCAGTTCACCACATTTAAAAAAAACTGAATGGAATTTAGTTTGTGGTTAGTTTGTAAGTCAACACTTAATGAACGCAATATTAAAGTAGAACATCTTTACTGATATTCATTGTGTGATGGAAACCAAACTCATCAACCCAATGAGGGCTGGAAAGTGAAAAAGATTCAACAGGCTGTTCCAATTAACTTCAATCCAATCACGGCCACTTATCATAGGGCTCAGTAGTGTGTATGCCCCCATGGTCCTGTATGCACTCCCAACCACATCTACTCCTGATGAGACAGCAGTTAGTGTCCTGATGGATTTATGTCCATCTCTCCTTTTGTAATGGCCCCTCTCCCAATGTCTCCTCCACACTCCGGGAGAGAAACTATTATATAGATGTAAAAGATATGAAGGTTACAAGGCCTTTTGCTAACCTCGCTTGTAACATCACTGTCAACTCTGAGTGATTTAATTTGCAGTGGAGGAAATAAGTATTTGATCCCTTGCCGATTTTGTAAGTGTACCCACTTACAAAGGAATCAACAGTCTATAATTGTAATGGTGGCTTTATTTGACTAATAAGAGACAGAATATCAAAAAGAATGTCCAGAAATGTACATCATATAAGAGATAAAAATGAATTTGCATTTAACTGTGGGAAATACGTATTTGATCCCCTTGCAACCAACAAGAATTTTGGCTCCCACAGACCGGTTACATAAATCCTCTTCCTTTAAGAAAGTACTCCTTTTATCAACTAATTACCTGTATAAAAGACACCTGTCCACAGAATCAATAAATCAGATTCCAACCTCTCCACCATGGGCAAGAATAAAGAGCTGTTTAAGGACCTCAGGGACAAGATTGTAGACCTGGGATGCGGTCGAATAGTCCATTTAGCTTAGCAACCTTCCTAACGGAGTGAAATGACCCGGAAGTGGCAACCATGATAAGTGCTGTTCAAATTCTCTAGTCTAGATGATAGGAAAGGAGATTTGAAACTTCCTTTATAACCTCCTTTAGCTTAGGAACCACTGGACCTTCCTTTATGAAAGGAGAGGAGAAAATGCTGTCCAACAATGCCTTGCGGCCGCAACATATATCGTGACACAACGTTCACGGAAACAACCGACCGTGACCGAGAAATAATATCATGAAAGTTACGGTATTTATTAAGTAATTTACAACTTATGTGGTAACTTGCCAAAGTGCTTTGTTTTGAACCTTCAACACTATAATAATCAAAAGGAGAAATATGAACATTACTTTTTTACTGAAATGATCAAATAAAGTCAACATTTCACTGTCTTTACTGAGCTGTGTGGGGGTTCTTAAACTTTTAATACATGTTTGAATGGTGATATACACAGTGATATGTTAAGGAATAAAACGTTAATATCCACATGAATCCCAATATGTATGAATGTATGAAAATATCTTAAAACAAATACAAATGTCTTCATTATAATACACGTATTAACGTGTGGACCGGAGGGAGAGGGTGACGAACATAAGTTTAAGTTTCACTTTACTTTTTTATTTAAATTCCAACCTTGTTCATGAAGAATATGTGTCTCTGTTGCCCACGTTCATAAAGCATAAAACAACACCATCAGAGCACGGTGCAGAGTCACCTCTAGATGGGTTTAGTCCGTTGTTCTTATTAAACATCCATGTAGTTGGCTGTATACAAAACTGTAGTTTTCCCCACAGCAGACGCACATTTATGACGTCCGCTGGCGCATCATAAACACGTTGAAGTGCAGTCGGATTCGCAAAGCACCTCGGTCTTTTTTCCTATGTCCTTTTAAATTATCCTATCCACTATCCCTTAACCACGTGATGTTTCACACAGAGGTAAAGGAATAGTGGATAGGAAAAGATGATAGGAGCTTATTTTTGGACAATTCGAATGCAACCCTGCACCAGGCTGGGATTGGCTACATGAGCCATCAGAAAGCAGCTTGGTGAGAAGGAGACAACTGTTGGTGCCATTATTCAGAAATGGAAGAAACACAAAATGAGCATCAGTCGCCCTCGGTCTGGGGCTCCACATAAGATCTCGCCCCGTGGGGTTTTGATAGAAAGGTGAGGGATCAGCCAGAACTACACTGGAGGAACTTGTTAATGATCCCGGGGAGCACAGTCACCAAGAAAACTATTGGGAACACACTACACCATGATGGATCAAATCCTGCAGCGCCACAAACCCCC